AGGGAGCATAGATACTTTACCAAGGCCTGAATTTTGGAAGCTCTTAATTTGCCATGTTCCTAGGATTGGCTCAGGGGTATGGAGCAACGCTCATGCTGTAAGGAGCTCCCACCCCCACCTGTGGTGGGAGGCTGGGGAGGGGAGGGTCTCTTGGTTTGGCCAGAGCCTTCATGAGGTTCTGCTCCCTTTTCTGCCAGGAAGAGAAGTCTTCAGAATTGGGATCATCCTCTGGTAGGTCATGTTGGGAATTTGCCTTCTGCTTGTTTCCTTTACTCGCACGTGAGAAATGGGCTGGGATACAAAAATGGTGTAGGTGCCCTCCAGGCTTCCATTTGTTTCTGCTGCTTACTCTGTGCCTGACCTTGCAGACTTCTGGCTTCACAGTTTGCTTGAGGAGGGGTTATGATCTTCAGGTGGGGAGGAAGCACCAACAGAAGATGAACTGTAATGAAGGGTCTTCCAGTCCTGTCTGAAGATCCTTCTTAAGAGAAAACTGAGAAAGTGGAATATGAAGGCAGAGCTCTGCAAAGCAGAAGGTTGTTTCTGCGTGAGTGCGGCTGCCAGTAGAGAACAAGGAGCCCAGATTCGTCTCCCGTGTCTGCCTCTTCTCCCCATGTCTCCAGCAGCAGGCAGTAGTTGTGTTCTGTCTGGCAAGGTGGGCTCGGTGTCTTGTGCCTGGATCAGTTGCAGATGGAAGTGAGCATCTCTTTTCGTCAAAGCTGTGTCTGTTCTAAGAAAACTGCTTTGGTTGTATTTGAACTAGTGCAATCTGGAAAACTGTCTGTGAAAGCCGACTGTGGGCTCAGGTTTTGTCTACTTTAGTTGCCTGTTAATTGCTGGTTAAACCAGTTTAACTTTGAGATAAATTGGTTTAAGCATCCACACGAACCACCTGCACTGGTTTAATTGCGTTTGCTGGGTGTTCTCCCCGGCCAAGCAGAGAATACGTCCAGAAGCAGCTCAGGGAGTCATGACCCTTACATGAAATTTGCAAATGAAGTTGTGGCAGATACTCTCAAAGCTTGAGAATGTCTGAACATAGAAGAGGGAACACATCTCGAGTGGCTTGAGCTCTACGTTGTGGTGTCTGAGTTGATGCAGTATTCAGCAAGGTTGGTTAGTTTGTTTTTCTCCAACTGCTTATAATAACGTGGAAAGTTTAGGGTGAGAAGAAGTCACCACGTACATTCATACGGGTGGATGAGTCCCCTCAGCCTTGCCCAATCTGTGGGACCATTTCCACCTCCTGGATCCCGCAGCAGGTGAGCCAGGACGCAGTGTTGCACAGGAGCAGGGTGACTGAGACACTGCTCCTCAGAGAATGCTGCGTGCATTGCCCGGCAGCACCAAGCTACTGAGAAATCAAAAGACAAGTAAAAGAGCAGCCAAAAAGTTACCCAAAGGCTGGTAGTACTGCTTTGTGCTGAGGAAAGACTCAGATCTCTAATTGCATCTCTCTGGCTAAAGGAGGCGGAGAGGAGCCCCTGGAGCATTCAGAGGGAGCACACGCAGGAGGGGACAAGTTGTTTCCTACGGAATAATTGGGAGTAATGGGATGAAAATGAACAAAAAGACACTAAAGGCAGATTCTGGGAAACCTTTTCAGGGAGGAGAAATCTGTTCATCTGGGAGGAGTCTGTTATGGGAATGGTTTTTTTGAGCCCTGTCATTTAAAGCAAGGCTGTACAGCTACGTGGAGCACACTCCATAAGGCACGAGGCTGCTTTGGACCTGCCGAGAGAAAAGAGACTGGATGTAGAGGTGGGAAATGGTTGCCTGCATGTTGAGTCCAGTCCTGCCTGATAGGTCCAGGAGGGTTCACAGAGCATCTTCCTCCGCACCCTCCCACTCCCCACCGGCACCAACCCCTTCCCAGCACTCCAGTATGAACATTAACCAGGTTCATGTAGGAGGGAGGCACCTGACCGGCAGAAGGGGCAGAGGAGAAAACACCAGTTGAGGAGCAACTGAACCCTTGTACTGCCAAGGTGAAAGAATGGGGGAGGGGGAGAATATTAAGTGTTTTGCTGCTTCTGCTGTGCATTATCTGTGCTACACCATGATCTTGAATCCGTGGGATCCGTTGGGAATGCCCAGAAACATTGGCTGAGACTCAAGGTCCTGTTTCAGATACTTGTGAAGATGTCGCACCGTAGCAATAAGAACTCCCTTTTTACAGTGCATGGGACCTGTCCCCATGCCATGGGTTATCATCATCCTGGGGCCTCTGGAAATGTCACTGAACAAAGCAAACTATAATAAAATACGGAGAGATAAACCTAAGCACAGCTCCAAGTTGAATGCCTCATCAGTACTGTGGGAGAGTTTGCTTATGCTAGGCCAGAAATGGTGAACCAATGAGAGTGTATTGCCCTGAAATTTAATTTTATATATTGAATGTTTGGGGGATTTCTGTTTAATTTGGGGTTTTGTTTGGCTGGTTAGTTGGGTTTTTTACTCCTCCTGTTAGAGCCCTTTGTTTTATAACTTGACGGAAGAGTTCTGCTCGCATTAGACAACGGTGTATCCAGTAGACCCTGTAGGGTTCAATGATCTGTAGGCAGCTGAGAGGGAATTTTTTAGAATAGCTTCTGCAGTGAGTCACAGAACTGGCTCATTGATGCACAACATCAATCACTGACCAAAAGGGTTTTCTTCCTTCCCATCACTCTAGCATCGTCGGCGGTGGTCAGCATGTCTTGGTACCTAGGTGAGCAGCGCAGCCTTAACAATAGGAATATTTTGCAGTGGAGTTGATGAGTACAGGCATGTCAAACCCTTGCTTTTTACAACCAAAGTTCCTTAAAAAGACACTTCCAGCCTCATCAGCCTTGAATGCTTCTTTTCAGTCTTCTGGGGGTTCTTGTGGCACTCTCTGCAATGTGTGTGGATAGGATGGGTTTGGTTTTTTTCCAGTGGGCTGGGGGGTGGGAGAAGGGATGGGGTTTTTTTCTTGCTATCTATGGAGAAGGACCTTCCCGCTCAAGGAAGGAGGCATGTGTTCCGGAAGGAGCAACAGTCTTAGGAGCTGTTTCCCACAGTCCCTTTAAATTTATTGGGACTTTAATTTTTTTTTTTTTTTAATTATTTAAAAGGAAAACTGATAATGGATGAACTGAAACATTCGTGACAGGTGACTAGCCAAGGCTGTGAGTGCAGGAGGAACACGCATCCTGACCACGAGGCTTCTGGTCCACGCCGTAGCTAGAAAGTGTCATGCCGACAAACCAAACCATCAGGAGATCCTTGTTTGCAGCCAGTCTGAAAAGAGAAGCTGTTCCTCATTCGTACGTTCGGTTTTTCAAACCTCCTGTTGGGAGCTGAATTCTTGTTGTTTCATCAAGCAAACGATTAACATTCTCCCTTCCCTCCTGGCCCTCCCTCCCCTCAGTAACTTGTGTGCGTTTCCTTCCTTTCTGTAGATGCAGATGTTCTAGGCAATACCACAGATGCACCTGCGTGTGTCTCCACCTGCGAGTGCAAGAATCTCATGTCATCTTAAAAAATACAAAAAAATATACAAAAAATATACAAAAAATATCTTTTTTAGGCCAGAGTTTTCTACAGGTATTAATGAATATTTTTCTTAATCCTTATAAGTTTTATGTGTTTAATATTTCTTAATACCGGTAGCATTAATTTATACTTTTGTAGCAACACAATATTTTTATAAACCGCCACCGCTGGCTTTGTCTTCATAATGGGGAAACGTGCGGGCAGCTGGCCCCGCGCTGTACCATGTACTGTATTTAAAAGGTTATCTAATGTCACACTTGCTGTGTTAATAAACAAAACAAAACCTGTTTGAAGTCTCATGTATTGTTGGTGTGGATCGAATGACTCAATAGAGAGCAATATTGCACGGGGTTGAGTTGCTGATTTTCATTGTGATATATGAACGCTTGAGGCCAACTCAAGTTCTTCTGATTTTTTTCTTTTTAGGATTTCATTTTGTTTCCTTTGTTTTGTTTGGTTTTTGTTTTTTTTTTTTTTTTTACAGCTAAAGAAATTCAGTGCTGTTTGAAACTTAGACTGACGTCAAATGAAAAGGATTATTAAAGAAAAAAAAAAATCAAGGTGTTTAAATGTTGCTGTTTTTACAAGTCTGTTGCTGTCTGAATGGAAATATTCCACAAGCGAGGAGGAATAGTTCCACTTAGCTTCCAAACGAGCCGAGCACTCCAGGCCAGAGCTCGGTTATTTGGAGATACCTTAGAGACATGTTTCTCTGCAACATTCTTTTCAGAGTTGATGCCAAGGCAGAAGACAAACTGTAACTGTAAGAAAGCATCCGTTGCTTGAGGATTTTCATGTCAGTGTTGTATTTATGGTTTTACAATAAAACAACCTTTAGGAAAAAAAGAAAAAATTGTGTCTGGGGTTTTCTGTTTTTCCAGCAGCTGAGTGGGACATCACCCCGTGCGGAGTGCCTTGTGAAGAGGGAAAGCCTGAATCTCCGCAGTGGTCTCTGATGGACCTCATGAGCCGTAAAATTCTACAGTGAGTGTCCCTCCGCATCCCTTGTGCATCCAAAACTCGCCAGAGCATTTTCCAGAGGATCTTCTGTCTCATGCTTGGTTGCCAGTGCAGTGAACCTGCCCCTCTCTCACCATTTATATGTGGCAGAAAGTGAACCGAGGCTGCTCGGCCGGCTGGAAGGGCTGGTGTGTTGTAATGCACTATTTGCATTCACGCCGCCGGGGCAGATGCAGCTCAGCTGGCTTTTACGCTGCTCAAGCAGTGCACGCTGGTGCTGGGCAAGGTGGCCTTGAAACACGCACGAGCTGTGTTTCTGCCCAGCGTGGTCGGAGACTTTTCCCTTGTGTCGGCAGATCCACCTGCGGGCTCGCTTCCACCCCAGGGCGCAGAGGCACAGGCACTGAGCAGTCACTGAGCAGGTTCACCCCTTTCCACAAGACGAGGCCCTTGCCAGCTGT